AATCCTGAAAAATGTAACATTTACGCTTAGGACCTTAAAGTCTTCCAATTTTTGTTTGCCCACCCACCTACCATTTCAATGGGTAGATGGTGGTGTAGACGTATTAGGAATTCATATTCCTACCGACATGGATACACTTGTTGATGTAAATATTGAACCCCGTTTAGAACGTTTAGATAGGTTATTGAGCCCTTGGAAAGGCAAATCATTATCCCTGTACGGAAAAATTACTGTTGTTAATTCCCTGGTGGTTCCCCAGTTCACTAATTTATTTCAAGTTTTACCTTCGCCAAATGAATTATTTTTCAAAATATACGAGAAGAAGATCTTCTCATTCATTTGGGATGACGGGCCGGAAAGAGTAGCTAGAAAAGTATTGTACAATTCGGTGGAAAATGGTGGTTTAAAGTTAATTAATTTACGTGCCTTTAATTTAACTATTAAAGCTTCGTGGATACCCAAGATATTCTTTCACCCTGAGTGGTTTACTTCAATGGCCATCGCTTCTCATCCTCGTCTCAGTCTGAGTCTATTTCCCTTCATGCAGCTATCTTCTGCGCATGCCCTGAATCTTAAGAGTTTTCTCTTTGAAGCACTTGATGCATGGTACAAATTTCAGTACGTGGAGTCCGCGACACCAACAAACGTACGACAACAAATAGTTTGGAATAACTCCAGTATTACTGTTGATAGTAAGCCTATTTTTATAACTGCTTTGTATAATAGAAATATAATTTTTGTAAATGACTTGTTAGGTACAGATGGAAACTTTATGTCGTATGCTGAATTTTGTGAACTGTATCCAAATAGTTGTGAACAATTTCGATATCAACAACTTATATCTGCAATACCTAAAAGATGGAAAACTTTACTTACTAGTAATCAGTTAAAAGAGCTTGTATGTTTACCATTACAAAAAAATTATATGTGGTTAAAAAATACTAAAATTAATAAGTTTTTGTATAATTTCTTTCTGGCTTATACAAATGATGTTATAATTGCCCATAAAGTAAGGTTATCATGGTTTTATTATTTTGATAGGCCCATACCATGGCGAGAAGTATTTATAACATTAACTAAATGTACTATAGACCCTAACGCCCGATATTTTCAGTACCGTCTACTTTATAAATTTTTACCATGTAACAAAGTATTACAAACTTGGAATTTAATCGAATCCAGTACCTGTTCTTTCTGCCATAGTGATGAAGAATCTTACATACATATCTTCTGGGAATGTCCTCATGTGATAGCTTTTTGGAATAACGTACAAAATTGGTTAAAACAAGAAATTCGTGCAAATTTAGAATTAAATTCTTTTGTAGTTATGTTTGGGGATATTTCTACAAATGCATCCCCTTTAAATAATATCATTATATTATTAGGTAAGATTTTCATTTTCCGATCCCGACGTTTTAAGACTTTAAACTTCCAGTCTTTTAAAATATTAACATCTGTCTTTCAAAAGACAGAAGGTCTTATTGCATCTCGGAGGGGAAAGCTGGAGAAGCATCGGGGTAAGTGGGAACATTGTGTTCATTATAATTTCTGTTATTGTTATTATGTCAATGTCAAGATTATTTTCATTTTGTCAAGCTCGAAAGTAATGGCTTTAGGGGAGGCTTTTCCGTTCTTTATGTTATTTTCTATTTGTACAAGCCGTCTTGGCTTTTCAGTTTACTTTTGTATTATTTACAGTTATTTTGTTGAATAAAAAAAAATGATTTACATTGATATAACTATAATATGAAGTAACATACAACTAAAACAATTCTCAGTCAAGTTTTGTGGTAGACGGGCGGCAGGTTGTGTCCACCGTCCGACTGTGTTAGTTCTCCAATACGGACCCAAGATCGCTGTACTAGGCCGCGATTGGACAACTGGGTGGGAATGAGAGGTAGGTTTTATTCCCACGATCTTATGGACCTCCCTCAAGCTAACAATTATCTCTAACAATGAATCACAATTTAATGTAGTTAATGAAGGACTGCCAGTGACGAAAGTCCGTGCTTCTCATTGTCGAACGACGAAAAGAATATAGTTTCTGTACAAGATTAAGATATGCCGGTGGTAACTTGATTTTGGCCTCATTTTAGAACCAATGTCACCCTAAGCAACTGGCTAAAGATGAACATTTCATCACAGGTTTTATACCTTTAACGCTACTGTGCTATTCTTTCATTATTAAGCGATTTTATTATTTGTATAGCTGGTAGAAGTAGGCAATTGAATTTTGACGCATGCCTAAATAATGTACACTGCTTATAGGAGATACATTTAAGCCGTAAAAGAAGCGTTTTACTAATGATAAAAAGATTAACATGCCCAGTATTCTGTGGTCGTCTTTCTTGGATATTTTTTTCATTCTACTGTGACATATCTTTTTGTAATATACTCTGCATGTTTAATGAATTCAAGAGATTTATGATACTGATTAGTTAAAAACGTTGGGAATTACGTTGTTGGCGTCTTTTCGTCTTACCTTGCTAAAAATAGATGTACGACACACGCATAAATTTTTTTTTTTATTTTTATTTCGAGCTAATGAAAAAAGAAGTATTAATATGGCCCCTATTTTCTTGTCGTCTTTCTTATGTCTTCTTTTTATGCTAATCTAAAATATCTTTTGAAAATATAATCTGCCTGTTTCTCGGATTGAAGAGATGTTTTAAACTTAGATGTGTTAAAAGACGTTCGGTGGTTTTATTTAGAATTTAGGGATTTTGGAAGATAATGTTTGAGCACAAACACACACAAATACGTCTTGACGTATGACTGCACCATCAAAGGTAATTAGAAACAAGATATAAGCATAATAAAAAAGTTTATCTTAAGTTCGAATTTATTAATTCTCAAAAGGGCGTATATAAGAATAATTAATGCAGGGAAGCGACCGAAAATGTCGAGAAGGGTTGTCATATTAGAAAGAGCTTGCAAAGTATAAATACTGCGAAAATTGTGCAACTTAGTTAACAAAAAGATAGTTCTAGCTTTAGTGACAGAAAACAAGTGCCCTCATAAAATAGGCAACAAACAAATGTATGCATATAGCCATAAAAAGGACACAATGAGTCGTTGATAGTATAGTCAGCTACCATAATTTTTTCACTTACTGCCAATCATAACATTCTCGTTTAAAAAACAAATGAATTAATTTGTGATATATTTAGGTGTTAAAGAACAAGGAAAATGTAACATGTACTTACAGTCAAGTTTTGTGGTAGACGGGTGGCAGGTTGTGTCCACCGTCCGACTGTGTGAGTTCTCCAATACGGACCCAAGATCGCTGTACTAGGCCGCGATTGGACAACTGGGTGGGAATGAGAGGTAGGTTTTATTCCCACGATCATATGGACCTCCCTCAAGCTAACAATTATCTCTAACAATGAACCACAATTTGGTGTAGTTAATGATAGACAGACAGTTCCTTAAGTTGTGCTCCTCATTATTAAGAGACCAAAGACAGGATAGTATATAATTAAAATATGCGTGTGATGACTTGATCTCGGCCTTTTTTCTCTTAGTATGATTAATAAAAAAAATTACCCTAAACAACATTCTATAAACATTTCGCCACATGTTTTACGCTTAAAATGTACTGTGCTATTCTATCATCATGAAAAGATGTTGTCTTATGTATAGCCTGCGTATATATATGTGGCGTCGGGTGGTGTAGTGGTTAGAACAATAGACTGTGAACCGGTAGACCCGGGTTCGATTCCGAGTCGTACCCGGTACATGTCTGAACATGCGCCCCGACGTTGTGCCCTTGGGAAAGGCACTTTACACGAATTTCCTCACTTCACCCAGGTGTGAATGGGTACCTAACTTCGGTTGGGGAAAGTCGTATTGAGGTCATCTTGTGGCGCCGAATGGCAGCCGCACAGACCCTTGCGACTGTGTGTATCATTTGTATTATTTGAATGTTGTAATTGTTGTGATTTGTATTGATTATTGTGTGATACCCTGCATCAATTCAGCCGTGAGGCTGCGACTGCATGGGTACTGTTTGGACAATAAAAACCATTTATTATATACAATGTATGCAGCAAACTTAAAGAAATGCAAACTGCTGGTGGCAATGAGGTGGAAATACGTGTAAGCGCTTAAGTCGAAAATGAAGTGTTTTACTAATGAAAAAAAAAAAGATTTACAAGTCCACTATTCTAATGTAGTCTTTCTTGTGTATTTTGCCATTCTATTGTGTTTGTATAAATATAAACTGCCAGGTTTGTTTTATTAAAGAGATGTTACATACTGAGATTTGTTAAAATACGTTATGTTTTGAATGTTAGGAATTACATTGTTAACGTCTTTCCGCATTACCTTACTAAAAAGATGTACGACAATGTTATGCAGGCATGAGGAATTTTGTATTTAGAATTTAGGAAATATTCCAAGATGGTCTTGTTGCACCAAATCACATATACGTTATAAAGGTATGACTGCAATGTTTTTAAAAGGTGACTTAACAAATCACGTAAGTAGCATTAAAACAAAATTAAGCTTTAGTTTGAATTAGGATTGATTCTCACAACGGCATGTATAAGAATAATTTTATGTAGGGAAGCGACAGAAATGTCGATAAAGGTTGTCATATATTGTGCAATTTATTTTTAAGTAAGATCGCTTTAACTTCAGTGTTAGTCAAGTAAGAATAGAAGTCCTCCTATGTAATAGGCAAATTATAATAAAATACATTTGGCTATAAAAGGGACAAAATAAGTCGTTTACAGTCTAGTTAGCTATCTCAACTTTATTCCTCACCCTAAAGTATAACATTAGCGGTTTTTAAAGATAAAGGTTAGGCCACACCAATCTAATTTGTTGGTTGTCGGATACGCCTCTGTATTTATTTTGATTTGCAAAAAAAAGATTGTTGTTCTAAATCAACTTAATAATTCGTCCACAACTGTTAAGTAAAGTCCTCTTCTTCCTAGTCCCTACAGTTTTTACATCTATCACTGCATTAGTTCAATTAAAAGTTCGAAATTCATTGTTTGAAACAAACCCATTCTTTTGTGTTTACATAATGGCATCCATACTATAGTAGCATTTTGGGCCAGAATAGGATGCCTAGTCATGCTTTTTTTTCTTTTCGCCCTGTCGCAGTATATTTTTTTAAAAAAAAAATTCAAGAACCAATTAATTAATTTGGTTTTTGATAAACATGATATATGATATTGCTGGTGTTAAAGATCAAAGAAAATGTAACATGTACTTACAGTCAAGTTTTGTGGTAGACGGGCGGCAGGTTGTGTCCACCGTCCGACTGTGTGAGTTCTCCAATACGGACCCAAGATCGCTGTACTAGGCCGCGATTGGACAACTGGGTGGGAGTAAGAAGTAGGTTTTATTCCCACGATCTTATGGACCTCCCTCAAGCTAACAATTATCTCTAACAATGAATCAGTATTTGGTGTAGTTAATGATAGGCAGCCAGTGCCTAAAGTTCGTGCTCCTCATTATCAGACGAACAAACACAAGATAGTACAAAATTAGGATAATCTTGTGATGATTTGATCGCACCTTTTTTTCCTTAGAAAAATTTTAAAAAATTAAGAAATCATCCTAAGCAATTTTTTTTTAAATTTTACCACACGCTTTGCACCTTTGAAGTTACTGTGCTATTGTGTTATTTTTAAAAGATGGTATTATTTCTATAGCTGGTATAAGATAGCAAACGATGTTAAAAGTAAACGTAAATAAATCCACACCGCTTGTGGCAATAAGATGGAATTTTTATTTATTTTTAATTTTTTTTTGCTCAATGATCGCCACATAACACGGCCGTTAGCCTACTTCAAGTTTGGTTAACCCTTGAATGGTATTACCACCTGAATGGTATTACCACTCACCTGGGTTACGGGTTACCGTGTAGAACTGTAACAGCAACTCTTCTCTCTGAGTCCGAACATCATGATTTTGACCAGCCCAATTTCTCACAAGTAGTACAGACTAACTGACCCAATAATGCTTCGGTCCCAATTGAAAAAAAAAGGCCCTGCCGGATAGTCTCCGGGCTTTTTTTTTTGCTCTTTCGGGCGTGACTCATACGTGGCCTCCGCGGGACACCCTGTGGCTACCGGGCTATTTTTTGAGCCCGGTGGGGACCCGAGAAGAATTCAATTCTGACTTAAATTCTACCCGGGCTCCGCTGACAAAAAGACGCCGTGATCTCATCGTAAGAACACCGAGAGGAACCCCTCCAGTTGCCGGCAGTCCACTAGTACACATTTGTTACGTCACAGACCAGATAAACAGAACAAATGTGTATACTTCTTACCCTGGTAAAATGTGTGACGTCACAGATCAAATGATCACAACAAAAGCGTGAATTTTACATTACGTACAGGTTAGTACAAGACACATGGTCAGAGAACCCGCCGGATACCTGCCGGGTGCCTGTCGGAGACCGACCAAAGAGAGTGACAAAATTTTAAACAAAATGCTACTGAAGGAAACTTTTAATTATGACCACGACAGCCGATGCCCGCCCAACTCCTGAGCCCGACAGGGGCCGGCCGGGGCTACATCCCCGACGGGCACAGGTGCAATTGGGACCGAAGCTTAAGAGCTAGAGAAGCAGGAGTTAAGAGGCTGATAGGGAAAATTCCATACCCCATACCTTATGTAAGCTGAATAAGAAACATTTACTAATGTTATTACTAGAGTCATGCTTAATGCAGGCCGCTGGTGGCAATAAGTTCGAAATACATGTAAGCCGAAAAATGAACATTCTTATGTCTTCTTTCCATTCTAATCTAAAATATCCTTTAAGAATATAATCTGCCTGTTTCACGGATTGAAATGAGGATTCACAATGAGAATTGTTAAAAGACGTTATGTTAAAATGTTAGGGACGATATACGTACGTTGTTGACGTCTTTAAGTTTAGTATTACATTAAAAAAGAACGACACTGTTGCACCCGCATGAGGTGTTTTTATTTAGAATTTAGAAAATTTTCAAAAAGCTGTTGGAGCACAATTACACACATATACGTCTCAACGTATGACTGCATCATCAAAGGTAATTAGAAACAAGATATGAGTATCATTAAAACAAAGTTTAGCTTAAGTTCGCATTATGATTGATTTTGAAAAGGGCGTATATAAGAATAATTAATGCAGGGAAGCGACCGAAAATGTCAAGAAGGGTTGTCATATGTTAAATAGCTTGCTAAGTAAAAATACTGATAAAATTGTGCAACTTAGTTAACAAAAGAGCGTTTTAACTTTAGTGACAGAAAACAAGTCCTCTTATGAAATAGGCAACATATAAATGGATGCATATGGTCATAAAAAGGACACAATGAGTCGTTGATAGTATAGTCAGCTACCATAATTTTGTCACTTACTGCCAATCATAACATTCTCGTTTAAAAAGATTTATTTATTTGTAATATATATTTAGGTGTTAAAGAACAAAGAAAATGTAACATGTACTTACAGTCAAGTTTTGTGGTAGACGGGCGGCAGGTTGTGTCCACCGTCCGACTGTGTGAGTTCTCCAATACGGACCCAAGATCGCTGTACTAGGCCGCGATTGGACAACTGGGTGGGAATGAGAAGTAGGTTTTATTCCCACGATCTTATGGACCTCCCTCAAGATAACAATTATCTCTAACAATAAATCAGTATTCGGTGTAGTTAATGATATATCGATAGGCAGCCAGTGACTAAAGTTCGTGCTCCTCATTATCAAACGACCAAAGACAAGATAGTACAAAATTAGGATAATCTTGTGATTATTTGTTTGCACCTTTTTTTCCTTAGAAAAAAAAGAAATTTAAAATATCACCGTAAGCAACTTCCTATAAACATTTCCTCACAAGTTTTACACTTTTAAAGTCACTGTGCTATTTCGTTATTTTAAAAAATATGATATCATTTGTTTAGCCGGTATGAGATAAGAAACTATGTTGAAAATAAACCTAAATATATGCACACTTCTTCTGGCAATAAGATGAAAATTTATTTAAGCCAAATAAGAAACATTTACTAATGTTACTACTAGAGTTATGGTAAATGCAGATCGCTGGTAGCAATATGTTCAAAATACATGTAAGCCGAAGAAGTGGCGTTTTGGGATTGAAAAAAAGGCTTAACATGGCCACAATTCTCTTGTTGTCTTTCTTATAAGTAAATAAGAATACTTAATGCACGAAAGCGACCGAAAATGTCGAGAAGGGTTGTCATATCTTAAAGAGATTGCTAAGTATAAATACCGCTAAAATTGTGCAACTTACTTAACAAAAAGGTCGTTTCAACTTTAATGACAGAAAACAAGTCCTCTTATAAAATTGGCAACTTATAAATGTATGCATATAGCCATAAAAAGGACACAATGAGCCGTTGATAGTATAGTCAGCAAGCATTATTTTCTCATTTACTGCCAATTTTAACATTCTCGTTTAAAAAAAAATATTTAATCAATGATATATTTAGGTGTTAAAGAACAAAAAATGTAACATGTACTTACAGTCAAGTTTTGTGGTAGACGGGCGGCAGGTTGTGTCCACCGTCCGACTGTGTGAGTTCTCCAATACGGACCCAAGATCGCTGTACTAGGCCGCGATTGGACAACTGGGTGGGAGTGAGAGGTAGGTTTTATTCCCACGGTTTTTATGTACATCCCATGGCTAGCTATCTATCACATCTAACAATGGGTAACATGTAGTACAGCCAATGATAGGCAGACAGTGCCAAACGTTTATGCTGATCATCACATGACCAAATTTTCATTGCGTGTGATGACTTAATCGCGGCTTTTAATTTGTCTTGGTATGGAGAAATATGACGTCACCCTAAGCATACTGTAGTTAATATCTAAACAAGCGTGTTACACTGTTAAATTGTGCAATTTTGCCATCAACAAAAGGGGTTATCAGGGGCTTGGTATCTCCAGGTCTGAGTGGAGGGGCCACGCTGACAACAAATCGACCTGACGGGACCTGTGTACGGTGTCTGTAGCCGCCATGCATCAGTACCTGGTGCACGCGGATGATTAATTGATTGTTGACTTATATACGAAAAATGATCGAATTGTTTTAATGTCCATCTTAACTTTTGTTTATAGTTTTAAGTTCTGTTTTACTAAGAACATTAACATGTAAGTTAAACATTTTGAAATCATTAGAAACGTATCGAGTTTCAATAGAAACACCGTTATGTTACGTAAATTATGCTTTTGAGACAACATGAGATACTAAAAAGAAAAAAAAGTATGCATAAAAATCAAACTGTGTCAATATCAATAGCAGCCGAAGGAGCCACACAATCGTCTTGCAACTATGAGTATACCAGTGTTTTATGGCTAGATTTTGTGGAAAGACGAAGAATAAAATCAACCGGTGTTGGTCCCTAAATATCAAGCAATTAATTATCATCATATAGAGTCCAGTCAGCTGCAGATAATCTGAAATGCAGGATTACGACATGCACTCAGGTAGAAGGTGGCGATACATAATTCTATTGTAAAGACCACCAAAGAACATAAGGCAAAATTGTAGCTATTTCTACAAACTGTGTACATTTTTGGCAAACAAATAATCGCTCCTTATTTTCATAATCCCAAGACAAAACCTAGGAAATAATATTGATAGTGTAACAGGTTGAAATTAGGCAAGAACTTACAGATACGTTATGTTGTCCACGGGTGTCAGGTTTAGTAAACCCTCCTACCGAGAGTGTTCTCTGATTCTGACAGGCCGCTGTGTTTGTCCGTGATGGGACAACTGTATGGGAGTGAGAGGTAGGTTTTATTCTTACGATCATTAAGTACCTCCCTTAAGCTATTTAGTATACCTAACAATGGATGACGGTTTGGCCCTGTCACTTATGGATATGACATATCTGTCATTAACAAGGTAGTGTCAAAAGATCAAACTGTGATCTCTTACCAGTGTTTGGAGAGGCTATATATGTAGAGTCTGTAAAGTCTCGTAAGTCACGAAACCCACTTACGAAACCCACTTACGAAAGTCACAAAACCCACTTACGCGCCTCAGAATTCTGACTGTAACTGTGCCACATTTTTCAAAGTTTAACAAGAAAAAACTACAACGTCTGTTGTCAAGCTTAAAACATTAAGACATGGAGACAAATAGTGAAGGTTGTCGTAGCACCCGCTTTATCATTCCCCCACTCAATTGTAACAGGGCATTGAGTTATATGAGGTGTTAAATTTATGTTAAAGTAGCAATTGAAAAAGGTACCAATTTATCCACACACCTGTCTTGCACCTAAGTAAGCATGTTGTTTTTTTAAGGTCAATTTGGGAAAAAACGAAAAAGTACAACGTAAAAACAGTCTGGAAGGAGTGGACACTACAAAATTTTTCAATCCGGATCAGGTATAAAATTTTTCAAATTTTTGAATGATCTTTTGGCCTGGGTAAAAAGGCCAAATTTCTAAAATGGTATTGCTAGTGTGACAGGACAAACTACAGCAAACGTACTGACGGATACTTTTTGTTGTCGGCAACCGGCAAATTAGATCTACCCTCCGTCTGGATTGTTCTCGCCAATTCTGACCAACCCGATTAGCAGGTTTCCCTCTGATATGACGTCACTGCTATTTTTGCATATTTAGCGGGCGAAAGTTTTGGTATCTTTGAAGTCATACGTGACTATTTTGCCAAGCACCAACTAAAATATTCTGTCATTAAAAGATATAGTTACAGTTTACAATACTCGACATTTATAAGACAATTTTACGATGGCCAGAAAAAAACGCAACAAAAGGACGAGGTCTCCCCTGGTTGGCGTACACGTTGATTATAGCGGAACAAAAGACAGCGTATGTTTTTGAAGTGCCATATAAGACAGAAGTAGATTCAAGAACTACCGCCCAAATAGGTGTGAAAAAATACACGGTATTTGCTACAGAGAAAGACTAGTAGAAATGTTTACGAAAAAATTGCGACGGTGGAAATTATAGCTCAACAAACATACTAATATAAGCCGAAGGATGAGGTTTTCAGGCAAAAAATATACATTTTGGGATCTGGAGCCCTGGTACTAAAACCAAATGACCTGAAATTTGGTATGGGGATACGTTGGACATATGTCTGCAAAACCTGATTCAAGCTTTCTACATACACCACTTTAAAATTGTGAAAAATAGGGCTTTTTGGCTATTTTTGGACCAAAAATGTACATTTTTTGCTCCTGTGCCCTAATATTAAATCCGAATGACCTGAAATTCGGTATGGGGATACCTTGGACACATGTCCAAAGAATGTCATTCACGCTTTTGACATATACCACTTTAAAATTGTGTAAAATAAGGCTTTTTGGCTATTTTCTGACCAAAAATGTACATTTTTGGCTCCTGTGCCCTAATATTAAATCCGAATGACCTGAAATTTGGTATGGGGATACCTTGGACACATGTCCAAAGAATGTCATTCACGATTTTGACATACACCACTTTAAAGTTATGTAAAATAGGGCTTTTTGGCTATTTCCGGCATTGGAAGATTCCATTGCTGCATGGGGGTGTAGACTATTGGCAGCCACCGTAGGATAGATCCATTTTCGGTATGGGGGATGGGGTGAAGCCATCTGCTGCATTTGCTCCCAAGCAAATGTCGGCCTTTCTAGTTGTATTACATTTTTTTAATATTTCAAAATCGTTTAGACTGCTGAGTATTTTATCGCCTTTAATATCTCGGCGGAGTTCGTAAAGTTGACTTGTATACTGTTATCGGTTTTCGTGTGTACGTTTGGGAAGGTACATGCTTCCAGGAGCACAGAGCCTTCTTGTATAGTCTATAGACAGTGCAGTAATATATACAGCGGCCATCTTGCTTAGGTCACTTGCGGGGTCAGTCCCTGAGCACACATAGCCCTGAGCGCATATACTTTGCGCACAAACTCTTCGGACTCCGGAGTAGCAGGGCACGATGATCAAGCAAGGCAATGGCCTAATCATGGTCGCCAAACTCTTTCTTGTTTTGATTGTAACAGAATTAGGTGTGGAAGAACAGTTGTTTTCGACCTTGATAAGTGCAGACCTCCGGAGGAACAGCCATTGTTACGATCTGACAGTCTGTTGATTAATGAAGACACCGCCGGTTGCGTGTGCCGGCGGGAGAGTTATTTTAAGCCTGAGCATGCAGTGACCTCGGTTGACGTTACAAGGCCAAAATAAAAGACCAACAGATTTTGCAAATGATTTGCAGTCTATAAAAGCCTCGATTCAAATATTGTATTGCTCTTCTGATTTCTGTTTGCTGTCTGTTTTCCAACAGACTTTTAGTGAGTCTTTGTACGGAGAATTCACTGTTTCAACCCATGTTTGCTAAATGAATTCATGTGCAATGAGCCATGATGATTATGCAGTGTTTTAGAAATCCAAATACTGTATGGTTTATTCTATGTTGCGATACTACAACTTTAAAAGGATATCACTGAATTTCTGTCAATTGTGTTTAAAAGACACACATCTAGGCTTCAAAGTCTTAAATCCTCACTCAGCTGAAACATTTTTGCGACAAATAAGCCTTAATGGGGTCTAAATGGATCCCTTTTTTGTTTTATACAGATATAGCTGTTTCGGTGAAATTTTGAGAATTTATGAATACATATAGTTTTATCGATCTCTAAGGGGGGAAAATTGACATAGAAATTTTAGATAGTCAATTATTATTATAATGTTATTTATGCAAAAAAGTAGTATTCTTCACCACAAACACTACGTTACTACTGTTTAATATCATATCAAATCATATCATACCCTACCATATCCTTGTTGTTACTGCGTCTTTTTCGTCCCCCAAACAGAACTTTGTCCCGTTGATAAAGACTTTCTTGACAATCTTTGAGGATTTTACAAGACTCGAAAGCATGCCTTAATCTGTGCACCTGTGTGCAGTTGTCGTCCTTTCTGAATAACTCGAATAATGCTGTCAGGCTTTGTGGAGTTCCTCGTCCAGGAATTTCCACAGGATCCATAGTTAGTTCTGTTTCGTGAATGTCGGCAGGAAATTTCGGCTGAACCAGCTCGATCACGGACGGCAGTCACCTCGGCTGTTCGCGCCCAGTGCATCAGTTTTCTCCAACCGTCTAAAAGTGACTTATTGTAGCCTCCAGTACCTACTCTGTATGGGGCATTCATCCAGAGTCTGTTGCCGTAGATCAGTTGGTAAGAAAGTCAGAGTGTCTTCACAGAACGCCATTTTGTCTTTACAGAACGCCATTTTGTCTTTACAGAACGCCATTTTGCTGGCTTCGGAGGGGGCAAGTTCGCGATGACGGAATGTTTTCCTCAAATCTTCAGCCGATAGATCATCTCTGTCACTTTCCTTAAGTATACAATTCGTAAGTGTAAATGTATCAAATTCCTAAAAACCTTTTCCGTACGCACATGGTCCGGCAAAACGTGGCTAAATATCCAAAATGCAGGAGCGGATACATTGGCATGTTGTTTAGTTTTTCTCTTTCCCACGTACTGGCATGACAACTTCTGTCAGTGTTCGCAAGTTAATGGCAAATATTTATCACCCCAAAGGTCGTAATGGCTACGGGTTAAAGTAAAGAGCCACGCTGTTCTTTGTCCAACCTAACGTCGAGCCC